TCTGGCCTGAAGCAGCTTTGGGAGGGGACAAAAAAAGAAAAGAAAAGAAAAGAGAAGAAAAGAAAAGGAAAGAGGATAAAAAGCACTGGTAAATACCCTGTAAAGTAATGACTGAGAGAAAACTTGAAATTCTGAAGGGCTATCCTGGCTGTTCGCCATGAGTAATTGCCTTGTTGGGACTGTAACGAAAATAGCATTGCAGGGATATTTACCCAATTTTCATACAAACTATTATAGTTTTATTTTCAAAGCAAGTAACTACAGAGCCATGTGGCCTGTTGGTAAATGTTTAAATGATTAACTGAGAAATGTGGAGGTGGGTGGAAGAAGGCTGTTAGGCATACACATTTGAGAAAAACAAAATTTTAAAAAGGATGTTCTTCTGAATTTTGAAAGCTGAAAGCATTTTGGTCTACACAGTGATGTTCCGTATAATAGTACCAAGAGCTACACCCTAAGAGAGGGAAAAAGGGAAATACCGGTACATCTGTTTCAACAGTTATTTTTGAACACACTCAGAGTTAAAATTTCAAATTCTGGTTGCTTTAGAGTTAAACTCTTGGCACATGTTGAGAGCCAGTTGCAAAGCCAAATTGCATTTGTTAGAATTAGCCCTGTCACAGAAATGGCAAGGCCTCCTCCGTTCTGGCTTGCAGGCCTGGTGGGAATTAAGTGAGCGCAGACCAAGGCCCGCACGGCTGAAGGACAGGTTTGGGAATGGAGCTGTCAGAGTGTGTGCGGAAGCCAGGGATGGAGTAGGTTGGGTTGGTGAGATCTTTTATTCCACTGCTATTCATCATCTTGCTTGTGAAACTTGCTATAAAATTAGCCTAGGCTAGCAGAGGCGAGTAAGAACAGAACTTCCACTGGACTACTGAACCCTGCAAACTCGATAAATCCTCTGGTATAGATGCTTTAAGTGGTTGACTTCTAGATCTACGATAGAATTCTTCATGTTCATCCCCACTACTACCACTAATATGTTACTGGAGCCTTTACTGCTACTCTTGCTAACACTACTGTCATCTCGACCACCATCACGAACACTGTCACCGCTCCTCTCACCAGCCCCCCCACCCCGCCCCTTGTGCTACTGGACACTGGCAGGGCGGAACTTACTGGCCCCAGAGCTTGTGCTTTATCCCATACCCAGCGAACGTGAAGAGTAAAGTCAAAAATTCTGCGTATCTTCTAAAATCACCAGAGTGGAGTGTGTCCCAGGAATATACTTGCTACTGGCCATAAAGGCACTCGGATGTCTTTAAAAATACAAACGCAGGAGGCCATGCCGCCCGCTCAGCCAGCCCCAGGAAGAGTGCCTTTCTCTCAGAAAGTGTCCATTTCAACCTACTGCCAGTGTGCCCGAGAGAGGAAATGGCCCCTGATAGAAATGGAATTTTAGATTTTCCAGAGACAAGTCACTTGACTCCTGAGGGGCTATTTTAATTTTTTTGACTGATGCCTGCTTTGGATCTATGGAAAAGTGTGTAAGTAAGTGACATCCTGGAAGGAAGTAAACACGACCACATCTGAAGGTTGGCAATTTAAGACTGGGTAGTGCTTTCGTAACATGACAATTCTATTTAGTTTTTAAAGCTGCTTTCAACTCTTAGTCTAAATTACTTTCTCAGAGAAGGGACAAGGCTTTCAAGGTCTGGCAAGTAACATTCCATTCCTGTCCCCATGACTTGATAATTTCTACCATGTGAAAGGCATTGCCAGATGATGTGGAATCGGTGTAAATTTAATACATGGATGATAGCTCATGTAAAATGCACATGCTTAATAACACTGTAGTGAGTCTGTAAGCGTTTGCTGCTTGAATATACAGGATCAGAAATTGCTTCTTTTATTGGAAACCACTTAGAGGACAGTGTCTCTCCTCTAAATTCGAGATGTTACAATGATTAGAGTTAACAATTATTTGTAATATTGAATTTCAAGGCTAAATTTTCCATAAAGTTAGAATGTTACAAAAATGCTAACTTTATAATAGATGCTAAAAATTACTATCAAATTAAAATGATGAGTGAATATGTCAATTAAGGTAGAATGGACATAATCAGACCAGGGCAAAAAAGCAATATCTTTGTCACACAAAGTATTACCACAAAATAGTCACAAAAGGTCAAACAGGCACTAGGATATTTTTTGAAGTTGTATGAGATACAGACTCAACTTACCTTGTAATAGAAATTCTTTTGCACAAAAAACTATCATATATTTCTTAGAGAAGAGTTCAGTGGAAGTAAAATTTTCAACTTCCAGGGGCATGAGTTATATCCGTGTAATACTACAGCAAGAGCCTTCCTCCAGATAGGACTTACCAAGTGTTTAACACATTAATTATCAACCTCCATCAAGCATAAAAACTAACAGTCAGGAAATACAGCTGCAATGGCACAATTACCAACACACTCAGAATATACCCTGGAGCAAAGAAAACAAATGGCTTGCTTTTCATTAACAGAGCTTGGTAACCCTCTCCAAAGACAATGTTTTCTTTCTAGTCCGGTCCCAAAAGGCATTGAAGGGGCTATTTGCGTAGGTAAACCCAGAGAACAAATTAATTGTGAAAACATCAATTTAAATTTCAAAATACACATGACCAACAAACGGTGTCATTCAAAAATTATAGAAAAAGGTGATTTGATTTTTTAAAAATCTTATATAAATAGAGAACATGTGTTTTTAAAAACAGTGGGGCAAGAAGGCTGGGGAATCAAACAATACCCTTGTACTTGATCATGACACACAGGGCATTAATAGATTTCATTTTCATGTTTTGTGACATACCATTTGATATGCAAGTGCCTCTATCTATAAAATAATAATGAACTGTGTATAACAAGATTCTATTAATCAAATTTGAGGCCACATAAAATAATTAGCTATCAGCTTGAGATTCTAATATGTTACTATTGAAAGTCTAGATAAATAGCATTTTGGAGAGGTAATAAAAAGAACAGTTTGTTTAGTTGGTTTCTGGACACTTATTTTTAATATTAGTGCACCATCATTATCCTGTACCAGATGTATTATGTCTACCAAAGTTATATTACAATTAAACAATGAACTATTACTTAAACTCTAATTTAGGGAAGGATCTGGGGATGTAATGGAGAATCATCTGCTCAAAGTATTGGTAATTATGTCCTGAACCATGTGTAGCTGTCAAACTTTCGCTAAATCCTCTGCCCAGAAATCCTCTCAAATAATCAGCTTGATTCTCTCTGCAGGGCAAATAGTATGGCAAAAATGAAGAAGCCATGTTTTCCTCAGCACAGGAGGCCAGGAATACACATATGGGTGCTTCCACGCCGGTGGGACAACTTCAATGTCACAGATTAATGTTGTGCTTTATAAGCGATTAACTCAAACATGGAATTGTTTTCAGTGGTATTTGGGGAGGGCATTACTTCCTCCTTCACCTGGCCAATTTATGTTATGGACAGCTGTCTTTCAAAAGGCAGAGAAGCTTTGGTGTTGTATACGCAGGAAAACTCGATGTCCTGAATGTGCTTTACAGAAAGATCATCCTTCGGCTTGGGCGAGGCCTGGTAAGTGTTGTGAATAGCATGAGTTTTAATTTTAACCAGTCTACCTTTTCAGGGGAGCGACCTACCAAGGTGCTGAAAGCAACAGTAAATCATGGGGAAGACACGAGGCCTCTGGCTGCTGGCTGTGCACAGAACATTAGCCTGGACCGAAGAGGATACCTAGGAAGTGAATGGTCCCTCCCACTACATGCTTGCAGTTGACAGTACAAAACTACATATTCTGAGCATGTTTCCCAGGGGTGCATCTGAGAGCGCCATGAGTGGGTGGTGGGGTTGAGGGGGGACCAGGAGGAACAGCTTCACGGCCAGGTTGGGTGCATCAAGGATGCATGGATTCCCTCGGGTCTCTCTGGGACCTTCATTTTAAGGCCAGGCCTATAGAAGTTCTACCTCAGTACTTTGGTAGATACACTGACATTACACACATTTGAAAATCAGAGACAGGGGCTGGGGATTTAGCTCAGCGGCAAAAGCGCCTGCCTGACAAGCGCAAGGTCGTGAGTTCGGTTCCCGGTACCGGAGAAAAACCAAAAAAATAAAATAAAATAAAAAAGAAAATCAGAGACATATTTTAAGGTAGAAAAGTAGCTTTTTAGCATTTTGATGTTTTGTCAAGAAAGGTGAAAAGACACAAACTGCCTGAAATATTACAAGTGAGGCGAATTCAAGATGACCTTGTCTTGCCTGATATGCTGCTTTCAAAGACAGAACAGGACAGCAAGCACCACTGTGCTCTCCCTTCCTAAAATCCTTTGGAACCCAAATCACTCCCTTACTTGGATATGCGTTCATCTCCAGTAAACATCAGGGAGAAAAATAATTCCAGTTCGGCTGCAATACCAAGAATCAGATACCGCGCACGTATGCCTTCTGCCCTTCTCGGACGGGAAGTCCTTGAGTTTAATGTTGCTTTTTCAATTAGACACTATTGTTATAGCCTTATGGAAAAAGTCAATTTCATGTTGGAATATTTTTTTAGAAGTAAAGGAGGAAAGAAATAAATCTCTAGGGAGCATATTTGAATGTAATACTTAAAAAGTAGGGCTGGGGGGAGTGTGGCTAAGTGGTAGAGCGTCCGCCTAGCATGAGCAAGGCCCTGGGTTCCATCCCAAGCAATGCAAAACCAAAAAACAAACACGCAGTGACTTCGGTATATGGTACTGGGGCAATATTCTCTTCAGCAATACTAAAAACCTATTTTAAAGGAGAGGGCCAATCCTAAGACTTACGTTCACCACATTTCATCCCCCAGTAATGTGCACCCCGAGGCTTGGCCTGTCCTTTGGACTCCGGTGAGAGCTCAGGGTGAAGGACCCTTCTAGGAAGCACAGTTCTCTCTTTAACAGTCGGGTTCTCAGAATGAGGGTGCTCAAATTGTGATGGAAGCTGCTTATAACATAACCATACGTTGACTTTTTGTAAGATTCTCTGGCTTCCTACCTTTAGCGTGGTGAACTCATACGGCTGATAGCCTTTGAAGCTCTCGTGGATGGCAGCCATAGTGTGAGATGTTTTTTCCCAGAAATGGAGCAGTGTGGTCTGTAAAGAGAGATGGCAAAGCTATTACTGCTGAGAACATCCAGTGCTAGTTCTGGGCCCTAGAGAAGTGTTCCTGTTTGTAGCCTTCAAAGACCTCTACAATGCAATTTGGACTTATTTCTGTACCCACTGTTTTCCCCACCCCACATCCTGTATTTCAGTCAAACTAAATGCTTGACATGCATTGTGCTGTTCCCACCCCTCGGACCTGTTCTTCTCTATTCTCCCTGTCTCCTTCAACCCATCCTGCAAAACCCAAGGCTAATCATGAATTAAGCATTTTGGGGGGTCCTGTTTTCAGAATTACTGAATCACCCCAGGGCCTTTGCATGTCCCCAGCCAAATTCCTAGCTTTTTATTTATTTATTTGTTTATTTTAAAATTTTGAGGCAAGGTCTTACTGCCTTGCTAATTTGTCCAGGCTGGGCTCAAACTTGTGATTCTCTTGCCTCAATCTCTCCCACAGTACTGGGGTTTCTAACATGTTCTGCCCTGCCTGTCTGGAAGTTTTGCAATCCCTGTACTAATTTGACTTCTTCCTCTTCCAACTCTCACTGGCATTTTTAGAACCTTTTTTTCCCCATGTAGTGCACCCTGGTTTGTCCTAGAGGTGTAGGAATTAAGAGTCAGACCTTCCTGTCTCTAGTTTCCTTCTGAGCTTTGAGCTCCTTGAGAACAAGATGGTCTTGCTAATTTTTATAAACCCCACAAGACCCACTGTCCAGCCTCCACACACTCAGTGGGTGTCAGTGCACTGCTGCAAGACACAAGTGCTATCCTGAAGGAACTCAGAGGCTGTGAAGAGGCATGAAAAACAAGCAATGAATAATGACAGCCTGAGAAGCAAAGTAGGATAGGAGACGCACAAGTACAGTGCCATGTGAGCTCAGGCCAGGGATACTGAAGGGTGGGACTTTTGTTGTATCAAAAGGAGTGGAATTTGGCAAAACACAGCTATTTTTGGAGGGGAGGCTCTCCAGGCAGAAAGGACCGGAGAAACGGAAAATCACAACGTGTGCGCAAGGGAATGGTGGCTACTGTGCTCGTTTTGATTAAACTGTAGGGCCAGGTGGCAGAGATATGGAGACTAAATTCTGAGGAAGGGCTTTACAGCTTTGCAATGCCCAAACCATACTCCGAGTCACACACTGTGACAGCTAAGCCTTATACCATTTTTGCATTCCTTGTGACAAATCCCCCTTTGTTACCTGATAGGTCGCTAGCATGTGAGACAGGAGATTGCATCTGCTTGCTCCGAGAAGATCTACTTTTTGACACACATCCATCTTCAGTTTGTCAAAGTTTTTTTTTGCAAGGCGTACTTGCGTCTGTACCTACGAGACAGAAGGGGAATCTCTAAACCTCTCAAATGCCTCAGTAGTTAAAATTTGCAGGTGACAAAAGACTAATAGTGGGGCTTCTCTGTTTTGTATAAGAAAACATCTTTGACAATGCTAGGCACATGAGCAGATCCAAACGTACCCATTCTTTACCTCCAAAGGATCTAGAGGACAGTATTGAACATTCTGATTTTACGGCAGTCTTACTATACCAATTATATTTTTCTTAGGTTAATGTTAAAATTCCTGGCTTTTAAAATTCAAGGCATTTACAAACCAACCATAGTGAGGAAGTCCGGAGCCACACAACATGCAGTGTAATAATGTTTGTGCAAGATTTTCTTATAATGCTTGAAAGCTGCAGTCCTGTCTATCCTTCACTGTAGTTTTCCTCAGTGTTAATATCTGATGTACTCTCTGATTGTTAAAATGTGGAAATTATCATCGGTACAATCCTATTTACTAATCCGTAGACTGATTTGGATTTCATCTGCACCTCTCCTCACGTCCTTCTTCGTTCTGAGAGCTAATCCTACGATACTAGATTGAGAAATTTGGGCCACAGTCTAAAAGCTATGGGCACTGATAAACTTTCAACTTTTATTGTGGAGTAATATATACTACCCGTCCTCCAACCATCCTTGAATGATATAGTAATTCAGGGAAGGAGTGAAGGCCAGGGAAAAATTCATAAATATCAATTCTATGCATTATAGTTTAATAAAATAGAGTTTTAACATTTCATACAACTGCTTTAAAAATCAGGAAGCTAAATAATCCATAGGGTCATCACACTATATTTTGGTCAGTAACAGTCAGCTAATTTTTTTTCAAGACCAGTTTAGTGAGGTATGACTGGCATAGAAAAAGTGGTGGATATTTAACATATTCAACTTGATGAGGTCAAATGTTAACTTCTCTCAGATAATTCACGAAGTTGTAGATACTGGGTGGGTAACTGGGAGCTGAAGCAGTGGTGACTTAATGACATAGCTCTTTCATCATAAGGTACCAGGTGGCATGGACAATGTCGTCCTTGTTCACCATTTCATCACCTGGCAACCTACAACAAAGCAGTACTAAATACATACTTGCAGCTGAATGAAGAACTTTCTCAGGCCATTTCAAAAGATGTATATTAAAGTATAAGCTTTAAGCATTTTTCAGAAAGGATTTTTAAACAAAAACAAAGAGGTAGAATGAGTAATGACATTGAACATTTTTTCATGTATTTATTTGCCATTCATATTTCTTCATCTGAGAAGTGTGTATTCATCTCAGATGCCCATTTTTTGGATTGGGTCTTTGGACGGTGGGCTAAAATTTTTCACAATTTGTGGGTCTTCTTTTTTACTCTGTTGGTGATTTCTTTTGATGTGTAAAAACTTTCCAATAAGATGAGATCCCAGTTGTTGATTCTTTGAAGTATTTATATTGTGCTACTATAAACATGGGTACACATATATCACTGTGGTGTGATGTTTTCAGTTCTTCTGGAAAAATACCCAGAAGAGGAATAGCTGGGGCAAACCGGACCTCCAATCCTAGTTTCTTGAGGAATCTCCACACTGATTTCCACAATGGTTGTACCAGTCTACACTCCCACCACGAGTGGAGAAGAGTTCCTTTTTCCCCACTACAGACCATACACACAAGTGAAATAAATCAGACCTGCATATGTAAGCATCATATTGTCTCCCTAGTGTAAGAACCTGACAGAGTAAATAAAATCTGAAAGATACAATAGATATTGTAAAAGGGAAAGAAACTGCTCAAAAGAAAAGAACAACTGGGATGAGGGAAAGGAGAAAAGAAAGAATGAGGGGACAAATATGTATATTTACACAAGATAGCTAAGATAATTGTACTACTAATTTCTGTTGGTATATTGAACAGAACAGTTAATTCTTAATTTTTTGACCAGTTTTGCATGCTTTTATCTGGTAAGCTGAACAATTACTTTGTGACATTGTTTTTGTTGTTGTTGTTTTTTGTATTTTTTTTTGGTACCAGGAATCAAACTCAGGACCTTGCGCTTGCCAGGCAGGAGCTTATGCCACTGAGCTATATCCCCTGAACAAGTACTTTGAAGACAACAATATACAATATAACAACCACTATTGAATTCAATATCACCTTATTTTTTAAAATTCTATATTGTTTCTAATGTTATTTTTTATTCTCTCTAAAATAAAAAGGTAGATTATTTGATATAAAATATATTAATTTTTATCACTAATACTACTAACATTCACAGTTTATAAAATTATAAGGTGTTATATAATAATAGAAATAAAAATAGTAAATTTAACAATTGATACAAACTACTTACCACCTGCCGATGTTATTTTATTTCGGCTGCTGTGGTTACCTTCTCTTACCGATGAGGAATGAGAAAGGTCATCAGGGCAAGTATTTTTCAGGCAGAAATGGCTCTCTAAATCAGCCTGCCTGGCTCCAAGGCCATGCTACACAGCCTCCCAAGCAACTGGGACACTACCTCTTGGAAAATCAAGAAACTCAAAACTATGATTCTACCCAGAAACACAAGTTTTCCCTGTAGAGGTCTATGGAACTGGAAAATAATGATGCTACACACTTAACACCACATTGATAGAATGCATACTCCATAGGAATAGGACCTATAAGAATAGAATGAAGAGCTATATACATTTTTTCCTAAGGACTCCTCTGTATTTTCTGTCTATAAAGCTGGAAAGATCAGAACAGTAGCCCCAAGTGCCTCTCAAACTGACCACCCCACGAGTTGACATAATCCTGAGGTTCAATCATCCCCACTGCAGAGTAGATTAGAGGGCTGTAGTTTAAGCCACTTGGGAGCTTTGGCTGGGAAAGGAGTTTAAAATGAGGTAGGTATCGGTGATTTTCTACCTTCTTTAGAGAGGGATAGGGAGACGGAAGGGAGAAAACCTGAGTTTCAGAGTTGGGGACAGGACTGGAAGTCTCAAGGGGGAGCTGTTCAGCAGCTGGCATTGTCACTGCAAACCACCCCACTGGTCTCCAGTTAGTTGCTGGGGCCGGGAGGCCCACCTACAGTGGAGTAACTAGTGGCCAACTTGTAACACCCATCTGAAGTGAGTCAGAGTGGTGCTGGCTGTGGACGGCCCACCTGAGGACTGTTCCCAGCAGCATCAAAGGAGAACCAGAAGGGAAGATGCTGTGCTGTTGATCCTCCTGGAGAAGCTTGTCATGCTGGTTTTCCTCATATGAACTTGGCTCTTCTCATTCTCATAGGAGCTCGGGTCCTCGCTGTTGCTGAGGATGGCTGAACTTCTCTTCCTGGGAGCTCTGGTCCTTACCTTGAGTGTCACTTCCTGGCTCCAGTGCAGATCCCTCAGCCTGCTGGCACAGATCCTTCACCCCACTGGCGCAGACTTTCTAGCTTCCACCACTGACCTTTGGGTCTTCCCAGTGCAAATCCTTGATAACAGACTTGCACCAGGCATAGTTGTGGGCCCCAGGCCTCCAGATGGACTTATGGAGGACACTGCCATGGGCTCTAGGTCTTCAGCTGGACTCCCTGCTGTGGGATCCGCTCTCTCAGCTGGATTCTTTGGGTCTCTAGTGTGTGGATGAATTTCCTGTACTCTTTTGCATTTGACTCTTTGGGTGAATATTACAAAGTAATCCTATAAATTATGCATCCTGTATTAAATCTTTTCCCTTGCAAACCTTGACTACAACACTGCCTTATCTGGGACCCCGAAAGCCTCTGCCCTCAGCCTTTTCCCCTGAAAGGGAAGGAAACGCACAAGGGAGCAAGCTTTCCCATGTGCATTCATTCACCACGTTTACCGAGTGCCTCTTCTGCATCCAGGCCGGTGCTTAGTGAAGGAGTCAGACGTATAACAAGTAATAAATATTTATGAATGAGAGCTCACTGTCATAAGAACTCCATAATCTTTTAAGACTGACTGACAAATTAGCAATGGCATTATGATACAACAGGCAAGGTATAATAATACACCTAAGAGTAAGGGACAGAGATGGTACAGAGACGGGAATGACTGCTGCTGTGGGTGGTAGGGGGCACGGTAGGGTGATGGCGCCTAATTAATGACACTAACCTTCCTGTTTCTCTGCGCTCAGCCCTGTAACTTCATAGTCTCCTCCCACTCTGACTCTGAGCTTGGCCGCAGGGCTTACTTTGGCCAACAGGAGGCTAATAACTGTATGACACTGGAAGCTCGGGAGAATACTGTTAGCATGATTCTGATTTTTCTTTTGGTTCTCTGAGAGGGCAATGAGACCATGCTCAGGCTGGCTGGGGAGGTATGAGTGCAAGAGGCAGGAGGAAGTGGGGAGCTCAGACACCCACCACTGTGAACAGAGGAGTGAGGAGACCGCTCCATAGCTGACACCAAGGAGACCAGAAGAGCAAAAAAGCAAAAAAGATCCTTGTTGCAGACCTCTGCATGCTAAGGCTGCTGATTTCACAGCATCACTGTGGCCATAGATCAATGACACAAACAGTAAGGAGGCAGGCAGTGAAGTCTTCTGAGGGGAGAGGGTACAGATTGAGGTGGGTCTTAAAGCAAATATAAATCTGCCACCACACTGGGCTACTTACACAGAGGATCTAGATTTTCCAGTTAATTTCAAATTCATTTTTCTTTGCAGAGATATAGATTTCAGTTTTTCTTTCACCTATAGTAATCAGTTACTCATAGAGAATCTCTTAGCTTACGAAAAGTACTTTCTTAAATTATAAAACTCATGAATTATGATGGTTTGAAATGGGCCCTAAATTTTGTTTGAAATTTGAAGAGTAATTTTAGAAAGCTAGAAGACGACTTCAGCAGTTGACCCAGTGAGTTCTGCAAGGCCATATGCTTTGCGTGTCAACAATGATTATTAAAATATTTAACGCACTGCTGAGTTCCCAAATGCTGGGCTCTTTCCCTGCCAAACAAGGAGGATGTTACACAGTTGAGAATTCTGAGCACAGTAAAATTTATTTAATATTTTGTGCT